TTAAAGGCTTGCGCCACCATCACCCGGCAGCCTATGTGTATTTTTAAACACACTGCAAATCTTTTATAGTTTCTTTTGTCTGAATCTGTCTTTATTGTATACCTTTACTTTTTTTTAACCATATGAGCCTTTAATTTGCTAAGCCATATGGCTAGGATTAAAGCCACAGCTTTGGCTACTGGACCCACCCCACGCATTGACTCCCTGAGAGTCTAGCTCCATGGTGGAGGTACTAGCAGGAGCCACATTTTTTTTTTTACCACAACTCAGTAGAGTTTCTAGTTCCATGCCATCATCAAGAAGCATGTCAAAGGCTGCTCAAAAATACCATTTAAGTGTTTGGTAGCAGGGTCTCTTAAAAGAGCTGCGAGGCCTTTGCTGCTAACATCGAGTCAGGAATCCTCTATTAAAGGAGATGCTTAAAGGAGAGCCCACCTGAGAAAATGCTACTATCACGAAGTCATGCTTAACTCTGTTCTTTTGTGTCTAGAATTCCTTCCCAAGCTCCCCCCAGGTTTCATGTGGATGTAGTTGCTCCATGTTGGGTACCATTTTGTAGACAGAAACTGTGCATTGGTTTCCTGGCCGCTCAGATCCAAATAGCAACACAGAAACTATATTAAATACAACACTAGTTGGCCACTGATTCAAGCAGATTCCTAACTAGTTCTTCCATCTTAAACTAAGCCATTTCTAGTAATCTTTTTGCCACGAGGCTCTGGCTTACACGTAAGATTCTGGTGTCTTTCTCCTTTAGCAGCTACATGGTGTCTTTCCGACTCTGCCTTCTTTCTCCCTGCATTGTTTAGTTTTCCTGCCTACCTATATTCCTCCCTGCAATAGGCCAAAGCAGCTTCTTTCTTAAGCAATGGCAATAAAACATACATACAACAGCATACAACAGAGGGGAATCCCACATCTCCTTTCCGTTTTTGGCCTCTTAGTCTCCTGGCTCTCCCTTCTCCTCACAGTCTTCCAGTTATGTCCACTCTGGACTCTCCCAGATGCCTGTGCTTTCCTTTATATCTAAAATAAAAACTGCAACCCCTTAGGAGCAGTCATGTCCTTCCTTTTATTTTTCTTCATTCACATGAGACTGTTTCAAAAATTAAACAAAAGCAAGCAAACCTGCAGAGTTTGCCCACTGCACCTATAGTTCTTATGTGCACATCCATGTTTATGTTCCACATAGTGACAGTCTAATACCTTTGGATCAAGACCAGCCTATGATTCCCTATCTTTTCGGTAATTTTCTATACAGAGGGCTCCTGATGAATTCAGCCAGGTTTCCACTGGATAAAACCAGGGTGGTTTTCTGTTGAGACTTCCATTCCAGCTTGTACCGCCTCCCCGCCAAGAAATTGTTCTCAAGAGCACAACATACATTGTGGGACTTGACCTTAGGGACTGACCAGCGGTGGCCTCCAAAGCACAGCAAGACACAGAGATCTCAAAAGCTCAGTGTGAGGCAGGCACACTCACTGTGCACTGGCTAGCGGTGTATCTAAACCCAGGGAGGCAGAAAATACTCATGCAATAAGTAATATGAAAACAACTCATTACCCACAAATAAGGCCCGAGGGACAGAAGACGCCTAGACCTATGAGCCAAGGCTCAGACAGCAAGCAGTACAGGGCAAGAAGTAGCATCAGCTACGCCACAGATGTGTGGCTCCAAAAGGCAGCCGTCATGATGTTATATACCTATAGGATGTGTGACTACGGCAGTTTGAAAGAAAATGGCCCCCAAAGGGAGTGGCTCTATTAGGAGGTGAGGCCTTGTTGGAGGAAGTGTGTCTCTGTGGAGGTGAATTTTGAGTTCTCCTATGCTCAAGCTACTTCCACTATTACAGTTGACTTCCTGTGGCCTGCAAGATGTAGGACTCTCAGCTACCTCCAGCACCATGTCTGCCTGCACGCCACCATGTCCCACCACGATGGTGATGGACTGAACCTCTTCACTGTGAAGGAGTCACCACAATTAAATGCCCTTTTTAAGAGTTGCCATGGTCAGGCCAGATGGCGGTGAGGCACACCTTTAATCCCAGCACTCAGGAGGCAGAGACAGGCAGATCTCTGTGAGTTCAAGCCCAGCCTGGTCTATAAGAGCTAGTTCCAGGACAGGCTCCAAAGCTACAGAGAAATCGTGCCTCCAAAAAGATAAATAAAGATAGTAATAATAAAAAAGAGTTACCGTGGTCATGGTGTCTCTTCACAGCAACAGAAACTCTAATGCAGTGACCTACAGGGGCCACAAGTCTCTAACCTACAGTGTTGAAGGGCGTCTGGTTCGTAGGGAAGGCTTAGATGGCACGTGTGTACATAAGCATGCCAAAGAGCATCTGATGTTATTTCTCACGTGTCATCCACTTTTTATAACACGGGGCCTTTCACTGACCTCAAACTCACCAACTGACCAGGTTAGCTGGCTGTCAAGTCCAATAGAACAATCTGTCTCAACCAAGGCATCTTCCTAGCCCCAACTGCTTCTCAAAACTGCGGCTCGATACCTTGAATGGGGCAAGGAACTGAACTAGGTGTCAGAGGCAATAGTAAAAGGTTTCTGAATGCAAAATCTTTTTCAAAATTCAAAGTCAAGTACCCAAGATGTTTCTGACAGTGCTCGGCTGACCTGTGTGTGGCTGTGCTGCAGTCTTGGTTCTGAGCACACATGTGAACTGTACTTTGAGCGGATCCAACATGACAGCTCAGAACTGAGACCACTGCACGGTAAGAATAGCAGCATTTTTCTTTTCTTTTCTTTTCTTTTCCTTTCTCTCTCTCTCTCTCTCTCTCTCTCTCTCTCTCTTCTTTGTTTTTTCGAGACAGGGGTTCTCTGTAGCGTTGGAGCCTGTCCTGGAAACTAGCTCTTCTAGACCAGGTTGGCCTCGAACTCACAGAGATGCGCCCGCCTCTGCCTCGAGTGCTGGGATTAAAGGCATGTGCCACCACCATCTGGCAATAGAAGTATTTTTATACTATATAGTTTTCAGGCTGGGCAGTGGTCTCTCACACCTTTAATCCCAGCACTTGGGAGTGAGAGGCAGGCCAGTGTCTGAATTAAAGACCAGCCTGGTCTACAGAGAGAATTTCAGGACAGCCAAGGCTACACAGAGAAACTGTGTGTGTGTGGGGGGGGGGTAATTGTTAACGTTTTCACTAAAAATTTATTAAATGAACTCTGACTTGGGATCAATGGACACACACATATTCTGCCCCGTGTACTACATATTTAAGCAAAACAACATTCTCCACATCGTTGACTAGTTTCACTTAGTATGTTTTCTAGTGTGTGTACATGCGTATATGTGTGCACGTGTTTATTCAAATACACATGCATGTGGAGGCCAGAGGTCAACATCTAGTGTTTTCCTCAATTGCTATCCACTTTTAAAAAATGTAGTTGTGTTTGTGTGTGCACGCACACACTTGCGTACACGCGTGTGGAGGGGGTGCTCGGGAGGGCTTCTCTCCTTCCATCACGGTGGTCCAAGGATCTAATTCGGGCAGTCCACACACACATACACAAAGTAAGTAAATGAAAATGTAATGAAAAACATAAATATCAACCTGGGAAACTGAGCAAGAAAAGGGCTGGGGCCATTGCTTAGTGACATGAGTGTTTTACCTAGCAAGTGTTGAGGCCCTGGATTCACATAAGAACTGAAAGGGAACAGATGAAAATAGAAACACGGAGATTCCTTTCCTAAGCAAGACCATCGGTGTGCCACCCCATCCAACAATCTGATCCAGATGCCAGAAAAATTGCAGCTCAGTAGAGCTCACGCCGGTAATAACAGCAAATCAGCTGAGCCAGGATTGTCACAGTTCGAGACCAACGTGGGTCACAGTGAGACCCCTCACTTTAAAAAACAAACAAACAAACAAAAAACAACCCAACTCTGAGCTGGACGGTGGTGGCGCACGCTTTTAATACCTGCACTCGGGAGGCAGAGGCGGGCGGGTCTCTGTGAGTTCGAGGCCAGCCTGGTCTACAGAGTGAGTTCCAGGACAGCTAGAGGTGTTACACTGAGAAAACCTATCTCGGAAAAACAAACAAACCACCCCCCCCCCAAAACAAACTCTGCTTCTCAGAAGGAAACAACCAGCCTCGCTGTCTCCGAACAGGGTTTCCCTCACCCACTGCAGCCCCCCAGCACTGAAAGCACGCCCCCTCGAACATTTTGGCTCACAAGTCTTGAAAACCTTCTGAGTCAGACGGCCAGGACCTTGGCTTCCTAGTGATCTAAAAAAGGGGGTGTCAGAAGTGAGCAAAACCCCGCTGGCCTCCCTAAGACAGCAGCGACACGATCCCAAAAATATCCCACTCAGCCTCCACGTCTCACAGCCTCTCCAGTCCCAGCGAAAGTCGGCGCGCGACCGCAAACCGCACTTTCGCCATACGCTAGGTGGCCACCAAAAATTAGAAATAAAAGTTTTGTATCAATAGAAATTTCCAACGCAATACAGAATCGGATTACGAAAACTAAGGTCCGTATTGTTTTTTTTAGAGTTTCAAGTGGCCCCGGTTACTCGTGACGAATCTACCACTATTGTTTCCGGAAGTGCGGCTTTCCCAACGGAAGTTGCGTTTCCTCCATTTTGTTGCCCGCCATGGCGGCTGTGTTGAAGTTGCGACGGGGATACGGCTCCTTTGACTAAGGGGGTAGGACAGGCGAGGCATCTGGGACGTTGTGCGGCGCAGCAGCAGACCGGCCCGGACGTCGGGGACGCTGTCATGTACGGTGCCGGCGGGGGCCGCGCCAAGCCAGAGAGGAAAGGAGGAGCGAAGGAGGAGGCCGGGCCCGGCGGCGCCGGCACTGGGGGCAACCGGGTGGAGCTTCTGGTTTTCGGCTATGCCTGCAAGTTGTTCCGCGACGACGAGCGGGCTTTGGCCCAGGAACAGGGACAGCACCTCATCCCCTGGATGGGGGACCACAAGATCCTCATCGACAGGTCGGTTCCTCCCCCCACCCGTCGACCCTCCCCTCCCTCGCCCGCTTGATTTCGCCTGATGTTGACTTGATGGCCAGGACCGAAAAGGGGGTTTTGCGGAGCCCGGGGACCCGGGGGCCTCCCTGCCCCACGTTCCCCGGCATCCGGGGGGAGGGGACGGTGAAACCGGCCCTAAGGCTCCGGCCAGAGCTGGCGCCGCGCCGTCGCCGGAGGGATCGACTCCTGCTCCCGCAACCCCTCGAGCCCGGGCTGCCGCTAGCGACTCAGCGCGGTGGAAGCTGCCCGGGCCTCTCGCCCGCGCCGTGGGGCGGGTGCCGCTGTCCCTCCGCTCGCTGTGCGGGAGGGAGCCCGGGAGTGCGCTTTTGTTCCTCCGAAGCGCCGCACGCCGAGGCCGTGGGTAGAAGCTTCTTTTGGACCCCGTGAGTTAGCCTGAACCGTCTCTGGCCGGCTTGACTTTTGGCGTCCGGCGAGCCCCTCCCCGCGGTTATTCGACCATTTGACCCACCGCGGTAGTTGGTGAAGTTGCCGTCTGTTGGAGGCCGGTCGACCCCGTGCGGACCTTGCTCTTAGGGGTAGCGTTCTTAGAGCTGGTTTCACTGTTTCCTAAAATTGAAGGGTGGAGCTGGGTTACTTTTGTGTTGTTTCTTTTCAAATCACACCCACTTACGGGTGCCCTGAGTTGAGGGTAAAGGGGTGGGGCTGTGGATATCTAAACACGGTGTTTGATTTGAAAAGGATGGCATTACATGATGTGGGTGGTTTGCTCCCCACCTCTATTTTCATTTTTCTCAGTCCCCTTTTCCTTCCCCACCATCCTGGGTTTGGGTATTTGACCTTCCATTGGGTAAGATGGCTTCTGAGGCCAGGACTGAAAGGCTAAGTGACCAACCATTAAGCTGTGGAGTGGTTTTCCCCGAGTGAAGGAAACCCATCGTTTGAGACAAGTAAAACTGGATTCTGCGAGGACTTGGAACATGCATGACTGTAGGGATGACCTCTGAGCTGGCCAGAACGGACACATTAATGACCAGTAGACCTTTCCAATCCCTTCCAACTGTGTTTGGAGACAGATCTAGAAAAAAAGGACTCACGAAGGGAGTGTTGCAGATCAGATGGGCTCTGGATCTGATGGTCCACTCTGCTGGAATGTGCTATGCCTTGAACCTCGCTTGGTAGCAAGAGATGTTGCTTCCCCGGCCCTCACTGTGATGTGTGCTGTTACAGTGGGCTAGATGCTGAAGCCGCTGCTCCATATGCAGTTTCCATACCAGTCTGTGCATGAGTTGTTAGATCTCCCAGAACCGGTGGGGAGCAAACACCACACATGAATATGTGTAATATTGGAAAATAATACATTTGTAAGTTAAGGAGGTTTACATCAAAGTAAAGCAAATTTTGAAAATTAATAAAAACACAGCCATTGGGGGTCCCAGGAATTTTTGGCCTTTTTCCTGTGGTGCACTTTTTCCTTCCTTAATTTGGTCTCCATTACAGAAGTCAACATTAATAAATCATGCAAACTTTTGCTTATTGCCCCACATTCACTTTTGCAACCTAAATTTGAGTCTTAAACGTCACTAAGCCATTTATTGTCTGGCAGTTGTACATTGACAGCATCTGTATTGGATCTTGTGTTCAAACATAGCAGAAAGTGATCTTTTTATTCCTAATTTGGTCTTCAATGATGTGTCTTCATTGCGGGATTTAAAGTTTAAGGGACCTACTGATGCTGCGCCTTCTGGTGGTTTTGCAGTGTTTGCCGTGAACCTCCTTAAACTGCATGTATATGTCACTGTTCCTTTGTATGTGTGTCTCTCTACCACATAACCCAGCACTTCTTTCCTCAGCCAAGTGGCTAGGGGCGAGCCTAGCCAAGATTTTACCTCCAATGGACGCAAGTTTCTTTGGTGAAGATCTCTCCTGAGAGTTCGGGACTAGCAGGAAGAAGCGAGGAAATATCGCCCGTTTGGTTCTGTCGGATAGGTATTTATGGACTCGGTCTGTGTGAATGTAAGCTGTAATATTTAACTGCTGAGAACAGATATTTTTTTGCAAGTGGCATTGAATGGTTTACCAAAGCATACATGGTAAGAACTGCTAGCAAGGGGGATACATTTTCTGCCCTAAAGGATTGTCTGCCTTTAGCTCTAAGTTCTGTTGTACTATAGAGAGGAGCTTAGTCTTTGTTATGATTACTTCAGTTTAAAAAGTAGGTGAGCTATGACTAGTCTTGTTAAATATAGATCTGAAGCTTTGCATTTGATTTAATATTTTTATTTCATTATTTTAATTGGTAAGTATGTGCATAGACTGTCACACTCAACCAGCATGGGTGTAGACTTCCATCCATTGACCAGCATGTTCCCATTACAGATACGACGGGCGTGGTCACCTGCATGACCTCTCTGCGTACGATGCTGAGTACGCCACGTGGAACCGAGACTACCAGCTGTCTGAAGAGGAGGCGCGGGTAGAAGCGCTGTGTGATGAGGAGAGGTATTTAGCCTTGCATACGGACTTGCTTGAGGAGGAGGCAAGGCAAGGTACTGCTCAAGAAAGACCTGCTTCAGCCACACCCTTTACAATTTAACTATTTAAAACGTTACTCCCATTCATTTATTTTATACTCACTCTTTCTGATATTATCTTGACAGTACCCAGTGGATTGGAAAAACAGGAGTCTTTGCGTTCTGAGAGGACCTCAGGATAGTTTATATGTAGAACCACAGAGAATTTTCCCAGCTTTTGAGGGCAGACTGGGATTTGAAAAAAACAAAAACAAAAAACAAAACTCTTTAACTGTTCTTCTTTAACAGTATCGTATGAATTAAAATCGATGTTCTTGTCTTTGCCTTAATTATCTTTAATACAGTTTTTAATCCCAAAATTTCCTCAGCAGGAAGAATTTTTCCATAAAAGACGTGTATTCTGCGGTCTGTGGGTAAACACATACTGGCAAAAGTACATAACAATAGATACCAAGTGTGCATTTCCAGAAAAAATTTCTCCTCAAAAAGAGATTGAAAAAAAGTGTTTTATGCTTTACTGATAGCTGCACTTTAGAAGTGTATGAAGTTTTTCTCAGTAAACGTCCATTTTTGTTAATAAAACTCTCGTTTTTATTCAAGAGGAAGAATACAAAAGATTGAGTGAAGCTCTGGCAGAGGATGGGAACTACAGTGCCGTAGGGTTCACTTACGGCAGTGACTATTATGACCCATCAGAGCCCACGGAAGAGGAGGAGCCTTCGAAACAGAGAGGTGAGGGGAAAGGAACCTGCCACTTGTCCTACAGGGACACTATTGAGGTGCCTTTTGTTGGAACAAAGCTGAAAGCTAGAAGATGAATTGTGAGTGGTGGTGGAAAGACATTTCTGACTTTGATTAGCTACCTGGATTACTCCTCTTAGGGTTTCATGGAGTTCTTCATGCTTCTGCATCAAACACACACTCTTCCTGTCTTAGTCATTGTTCTTTTGCTGTGTAGGAGGAGACACCATGACCAAAGGAAAATCTTATGAGAGAAAACATTTCATTTGGGGCTTGCTTACAGGTTCAGAAGCTTATTAGTCAATTTCCATCATGGCAGGGAGCATAGAGGCAGGCCCTGGAGCAGTAGCTGAGAACTACATTCTGATCCATAGGCAGAAAGTGAGAGACTCTGTCTAGGCTAGCTTGGGCTTTTGAAACCTCAAAACCCACCACTAGTGACACTCTTTCTCCAATAAGGTCACACCTCCTAATTGTTTTAATCCTTTCAAATAGTGCCCCTCCATGCTGGCTAAGTGTTTTTGTATATGAGCCTATGGGACCATTCTTATTCAAACTGCCACACTTGCATAGCCTCAATATTCATTCTGGGGTCTCTGGAAAGTCAGTTTTGCCTAGGAATTATTAATGTCCATTTCTTTCCCATGAACCTCTGCAAAGCCTATCCACCACAGACCTGACCAGTGGAAAGACACCTGAGGGGCTTGCTAACAGGAAGACTGTTAGTGTAGCATTAAAGATTGAAGCTAATGCAGCACCTTTGAGCATAAAAAAAGAGTGCTATCAAAAACTCCAAGCACTTGCAGTGTAAGTAGAGCCCTTGGTCACTTCTGTGAGCCCTAGAAGACCATTGTCACAGTAGAACATACCTATTAGCTTTTTGTCAGTAACAGTGATGTAAACTTAAGCCATTAGGGATAGTTCTCTGACAATCAGGATGTTCTGTTTGGAGAAAAACTTTAACGTTGGAAAGCCAGTCAGATATTTAAAATAGAAAACTAGATCACATCCTGCAGAGACTTATGTCAGAGCTGAATCTGCTCCTGAACGTGATGAAGTGAGATCACAGCTACATACTCAAACAGGCGCTGTCCACCCTTGTGTCCTGCAGCTGCATTAGCTCAATCCTACCCCATCCCACCCACTGAGTGGTGTAGCAGAAGAGCAGGCAAACAGATGTCCATGCAGGCTTTTCTTCCTGCCCTTGTGCTAGTCACACTCACCACCTTATGGGCAAAATGTAACTAACACACGCAGCTGCTATGTAGACTTGCTGAGACTTTGCAAGTGTAGCTGGGACTGTTGGGAAAGGCAATTGAAAGAACCACGTGCGATCTGTGCTGCCCTCGAGAGTGTGTGTGTGTCCTGCTTTTTAAATTTGGGCAGACTCTCACTGTATGTCCCTGGCTGGCCTGGCCTATATCTCACTACATAGACCAGGCTGGCCTAAAGTTTGTTTCAGTGCTTTGCCTCCCAAGTGCTGGCACCTGCGTTGGCTTCTGAAATTAACTGTCCTATGGAGGTTGTGAAGTGCTGGAATTCTTGCAGGTCTAAGAACTAAAACCCATTGATTTGTCTGGACCACATTATTTCTGCTCAACGTTGTTTTGGGTATTTTGTTTGTTTCATCAACAGAAGGAGAAAATACATACTGTCACCATACTGGTACCATTTTCTTTTGTTTTTTTCTTTCTTTTCTTTTCGTTTTTTCGAGACAGGGTTTCTCTGTGTAACATCCCTAACTGTCCTGGAACTGTAGACCAGGCTGGCCTTGACCTCACAGAGATCCTTCTGCCTCTGCCTCCCAAGTTCTGAAATTAAAGGCGTGCGCCACTGCTGCCCAGCATCTCAACCATTTTCTGACTAAAGAACTTTGAAATACAGAGAGGTCATGCTTTTTTTTTTTCTTTTTTAAGATTACAGCAACTATCTTTAGAAAGGAACACTGTATTCCTAACATCTTAGCCATGCGCACAGGCCAGGTGCCAGGTTTGTGTAAAGGCATTTTTGTTGGATCACAGCTCAGCAGGAATGGTGTGCTTCAGCAGAGTGGAGTGGCTGGGGCGGAGCGTATGACCCCTGTTGGTGGTATCCCTCTGCACTGTTTGCTGACCCTGGTCTGGGCTTGGATTTGTTGCAGCTTAGTACTGAGTAGGGTAGTGAATACCAGTGTGGCTTCATGGGCTTCCTCTCATTGTACACTTCTCCTTGGTATTTCATGCTGTTCTTTTCTTCATAAAATCAAGTTCCTGGAACCTGACAATTTTCTTTCAGTATTGGGGATTGAACTTAGCAGGCACTGAACCACTGAGCTACATCCCCGACTCCTTTTTTTTCCGCCCTTTCCATTTTGAGACAGGGTCTCACTAAGTTGCTTAAGTTGACCTTGAAGGAACTCTAACCCAGATTGACCTTGAACTGTTGTATCTGTGTGTGTGTGTGTGTGTGTGTGTGTGTGTCCCTGTCATCGCCACCACCCCCCCCCCACGTCTCAGTTTTCCTAGAAGCTGGGAGTACAGGCTTTTGCCACCAGGCCCAGCCTAGCTGATGATTTTTTATTTTTTAGTTTGCACTAATTAGTAAAACACTGTAAACATAGTAGGATTCATGTGGAACCTAGTACCACTGATTGTAAAATTCAAGTGTCACATATTAAGATATTTGGTTTTTCTGAGCCAGCGACATGTGTAAATATTTCTTGACTTTCAAGATTAAGTGTTCTCATTATTGCTGAGCATTTTCAACCTTGCTGTATGAGCTGAGTGCATGTGTGCCTGTTTCTGCATCTGATTCCTCCCTCTTTCACAGCACTCTGGTTAGCCTGGGGTCCTCTTACACTTTGACAGCTTTTCACTCTTACACATGTTTTTAACATTTTGGGTGACTCTGGTTTTGTACCACAATGATTGGTTGGTTTTTTTGTCATTGGTTTTGTGGATCTTGTTTGTTTCTTTGTTTCGTTTGTTTCAATATAGAGTTTCTCTGTATAGTTCTGACTGTCCTGGAACTTACTCTGTAGACCTGACTGCCTCCCAAATGCTGGAACGGTGTGCGCCACAACCAGCTAATGATTGGTTTTTATATCATACTTTGAGTGCAGTTTTTTGTAAAGACTCATATAAGAGTAGGATCTATTTAGGCAACTACTTCAAACGCTCCTTTATTTAGAATGCCTGTATGTGTGGACTCCTTGCCACACGGAGAAGAGACTGCTCGAAGTCTTGTTTCATGTAGAGCAGTCTTTTCCTCACGCATTTGGACTCATCCCCAGAGAGATCTCCAGAAGCTAAGTTGCTCCTTGGTATTTCTAGTAGGAAAGCTGTACAGCCAGTGTTTCTGATCCTTCCAGTCCCACTCTGTAACTCCTGGAGGTGAGCACAGCAGCAGGGTTGGTAGCTTCAAGAAGTATAGGTAGCAGGATGTGTTTGCTCTCCTGTTAACCCCTGTTCTTAGTGGAGAACAAGGGACACATATGGAACAGAGGGGCAGTGTTCAGCATCTCCTACCTGGTAGGAGTTTATAGTCACCTTGGATCTCACTGGAAGTAAACACTTGAGTTTTTTGCCCTGCTGAAGAGCCAGGTTTAGATCTGCAGCTTCCTGATGTCCAGAGGGCTGTACTGTGTGCAGTCAGGTCTCACCATGTAGCTCTGGCTTGGCTGGAATAGGTAGTTCTAGTTGGCCTTGAACTTGTGACACACTTGCTTTATCCTTTTGAGTACTAGGATCACAGGTTGTGCTACCACGCACAATGAAGAGTGATGTTTCTTTCATTTCTTCTTTTCTGGACTAAAAACTGTAAACACTGACATTCCTTGAAGTGTTGGTTTCTAAAGTTTTGTGCTGATTTCTGTACATTTCACTATGTGTTTTTAACCTGCTGAGCTATCTCACTGGCTCTTGCTATGCACTTTTAAATTAATAATCATGAGGCTCACAGATGACTCACCTGATATAGGTGCTTGCCACCAAGCCTGGCAATCTGAGTTCAAGCCCCAGAACCCACTTGGAGGAAGAATTGACTCCCACGGGTTGTCCTCTGACCTCCACTCACATGCATTGGCTTGGATGTAGACTCACACACAAGATAATGTAATTATAAAATAAATAAATTGGTAACAATTAAGTTGGCTACGGAGATGTATTTGGTACCTTAGAATTCAGAAAAGGTATGGTGTATGGGACCTTGTCCAGTATATAGCAGAAAAATGTTAAATGAACCACAGTTAAAAAAATAGAAATACAAAAAAATATATCTGGTTACTTTTTTAAACAGGGTGGTTTGCTTGTGTGGAGACAGCTTGGTTGTTTTACAACTTTGTGATTATAATTGATTTTTCCAGACATTGATTACCTTGTGTTACTATCTGGGATCCACAGAAACAGTTGGAGGATGCTTTTGATGCCAGTTAATGCCTCCATAAAAGAGGGTTTGCGAAAGGCCAGTGTAGCTCAGTGATAGAGAAAGCCCTCGACTCCATTCCCAGGATGGCAAGAAAATTACCCACTCAGCGCAGGACAGACTAAGATGCTAGGTCTATATTAATAGCAGGAGGGGGATAGACTTTAAGAACATTCATCAGGGCGCTAAGGCAGAGGGTTGGTGGGTAAAAGCATTAGTTGCACATCTGTGAGGACCCATGTAAGAGCTGGGAAGCAATAGGAAGAATGTCTATAATCCCAGCACTTCTGTGGGAGGTAGAGTAGAATGAGAATCTGGAAGTTTGTAGGGCAACTAGCCTGAACACTGCAAAAACAGCAAAGAGCCCGACTCATGGCTGAAGGCAAGAACTGACTCCTAAGATTAGCTTTTGATGTCCACATGCACACTGGCTCACATTTACACATGCTCACACACACATATACACCCCGTACCCCTGCTTTTAAATGTTTTAAAACATTTAAAAGAACATTAAGTACTAAGCTTTGAGCATTTTGCTCAGGGAAAGGTGACCATGTTATTTAGCTCCCTTACACCACGGAAATGAACTGTGCTGCACTGAAGCAAGCATGGAAATAGATGTAAGAGAATCATATGCCAAAAATCCCAGGATTTGGAGTTCTTAAATACCCAGGCTGGATTTCAGATTTCCACCTGCTCCAAAAACATGCTCATGTAGTTGTTCCACCACCACCTCTTTGGAGTCCCTGAATGAGGATAATCAAGTTAATGGGATAGAGCAGGAAGCTGGAAGGGGTTTCTGGAAATTGTGGTGAAAAGGTGAAGAATCAGGAAAAGTCCACACTGTATATTTATCTACTGTTGGTGGGGCATCATACTGCAGTTCTTAATTTTCCTTTTTTTTTTTTTAACAGAAAAAAATGAGGCTGAAAACTTGGACGAAAATGAAGAGCCTTTCATTGCCCCGTTAGGATTAAGTGTTCCGTCTGACGTGGAGCTGGTATGTGTATTGGTTCACAAGCCTTTGCACTGTGATTTGTTGCTGTTGTGTGTGGTGCGTGAGAGCACAGTAGAACACAGCTGCTGTTAGGTCCTTTGTGCTGCAAGATTATTTGTAAGGTGAAGCAAGCACAGCCTACTTACCTCTGAAGGTTAATGGGTGCCAGGTGTCATCTTGGGACTTGGGAGGATAAGGCAGGAGGATCTCAAGTTCCAAGCCAGCCGGGGTGCTCCAAACAGGAACCCTATCAGAAAACAGAAGGAGGGTGTTGCTGAGAGATGACTCAGTAGTAGATTGCTTTCATTCCTTGCAAAGGACCCTGGTTCAGTTCCCAGCAGCTATATCAGGTGACTCACAACCACGTGCACTCTAGTTCCAGGGGATCACACACATACCTTCTACCCTCTGCCAGCTCCTACGCACACAGTACACATAGCCTCATGAAGATACATACATGTATACATACATACAAACTGTACTTTTTAAGAACATACACTTTAAAACAAAAGGAAGAGGCAGGGGATGGAGAGAGTGGAAGTACACCATCATGAACAGCTCAGCATACCAGCGAGTTGTGTTGGATCTGTGTGGAGTTCTGTGGGGAATCTCTCTTTTATCAGCCAAGTCAGGGCTGGACTGAGATGTTGCTGTCCTCATACAGATGTGAAAACAGTTGTGCCCAAGGCAGTCTTGTTTTCAGCAAAGTACCTGGTTCTGGCTTTTCTAGTATGAACTGTGGAGGCCCTTGCTCTTTACCTTACATTCACTGGACATTTTTGGGTCCATGGGGCGTGTCCAGGCTAATTTTCCATGGATGAAGAAAGCAGAGGTAGAGCTTTGTGGTGCTTTGTGTCTCTCGAGATGCCAGTTTGGTGCTTTGTCTGATAAGCCACCTTGCCAGTACTTTTTAAAATTACTTTTGAGACAGAATCTCATGTAACTCAGGCTGATCTCAGACTCTGTATATAGCTGAGATTGGCCTTGAACTCCCAGTCCTCTCTGCTTCCACCCCCACCTAGTGCTGGGATGTCAGGCATGTGCCTCCAGCCCAGCATTTCTGTCATGTTTGAAAAGGGTTCCTAAGGGATTATGTTCAGGAAAACGTGTTTGCTTTGACAGTATTCTCACTCAGTGGCAGTCAGAGGTATAAAGGTTCCAGGTTTTGTGCCTGGCAAAGTAGCCAGGAGGACAGTAGACACCATAACCCACACACAGTGACAACAGCTCTGACACCCCTGTTGATAGTGGCCACCCTCAGTTCAGCATGGACTTGAAGCTCTTGCTCTTTTCCTCTTCTGCATCATATGAAAGAATGGTGCCTGGCTCTTCCTTTTGACATCTTTTACATATCTGGGTAGAAATTTCTGTGTGATTGCAGTTCTGTTTGCTTCCCTATTTCTATCTTTTGATTGCTTTGCTACGGTTAGAGCTAAATACGTTTACCTAAAAAGCTAATGTCCTAAATATTACATTAATATATATTCTTAGTTGGTTTTTTTTTCCGAGATTCATTTTAAATTATGTATATCTGTGTGGGGGGTTGTGCACATGAGTGAAGATGGCCACAAAGGCTAAAAGAGGGTATGAGATTTTTCTAGAGTTAGTTACAGGCAATTGGTACTTGCCCAATATGGGTAGATGCTGGGAATCAAGCCCATGTCCCTGGAAAAGCAACAAGAGCTCTTAATCAATGAGCCATCATCTCTCCAGCCCTATGTTCTTGTTTTGATATATTTTGTTTCTGCACATTCCAAAGCAGACTATTCTACATCAGAGACCTATTGAAATTGAACCTTAAAAATCATTTGCTGCGTTATCTGTATTTTATACTAAATACTTGTATTTAAGATTAACTATGGGTTCCATGTCCCCTTCCCCAATTTGTTTCTTTTGGCAGGAGTGAGGTTGACTTTTTTTGTTGTTGTGTGGGGTTTGTTTTGGTTTTGTTTGTTTTGTTTTTTTTGTTTTTAGTTTTGGTTTTGATTTTTTGAGACAGTCTCTTTACATATTCCTGGCTGTCCTGGAACTCACAGAAATCTGCTTGCCTCTGCCTCCCAAGTGGTAGTAAAGGTGTGTCCCACCACATCTGGCTGTTTAATTTTTTCATTATATGTATGGAGGATGCATTTTACACATGTGTGCAGGTGCCTAAGGAGGCCAGAAGAAGGTATCAGATTCCCTTGGAAATTAAGAGTTAGAGGCAAGTGTGTAAGCCTGCCTACAATGGTGTTGGGATTCAAACTTGGGTCTTCTTCAAGAACAATATGTGCTCTTAATGCTGAGCCATCTCTCCAGCCTCTCCTTACCCCACTTTTTTGAGGTAGGTTCAACATATGTCCTAAGTTGACCTTGAACGTGTGATCTTGTTTCTTTTATCTTCCAAGTGTGAGGTCTCTGTGTGCTTATGTACTCCTACAAGTAGAGGCAAGAAGTCAGCTGTTTTTCAGGAACCATTCGTTCACCACTTTATTCTTTGAGACAGGGTATTTCACTGGGACCCAGGACTCACCTGTTGAGCTTCTAGATTGGATAGTCTCGAGCTTCTTCATCCTGGCATTGCAGGCACATGCCATTGTGCTCAGCTTCTCACCTGACTGCTGGGGGTTGAACTCAAGTCCTCATGCTTGTACAGTCTAGTGCTTTGTCGACTCAACCTTCTCCTCAGCCCTTTTGTTTTTGACACAAGTTGTTTTTTTTTTAATGTCTGTTCAGATAAAATACAAAGGTATAATAGAATGTTGATGGCTAAGCTCCTGTTGTTAGATTTAACAGCTGTGTAGTCTCAACATAAGCATCACTAAGTCTTGTTCTGTTGGCACAGTTCTCCAGTATCAAGGTTTGAGAGGTCCCTGAGTCCTTGGCTGAGTGTCTGCTTTGCTTTTTTTCCCCCCTCTCTTTTTTTCCCCCTCTGACAGTGCCAATATCTCATTCTTCTCAGTTGTGGCTTTGGACATTCATTGGGAAAACCATTAAACTGTGGAGTGTTGGTGGCAGGGTACTGTGTAGATCATACAACCTTTGTGTTGTTGACAGATAATGAGAGGGGACAGTATTTGTAGCAGCAGTTCTGGTTGGTGACTAAACATACATGATGGCTTGGTTACATGCCTGAGTGTTGCTATTGATCCTGATCTGGAAGGTTGAGTTGGGTGGGTAAGGAGGTAGGTGCTCTCAGAGCTCTTTGGTTTACATTAGCTGTTGGGTGAGAGCCTAGTGAACATAAGGCACCTGGGATCTCTGCCTGCCACCTGCTGCATGCTTGCCAGCCAGTGTGCCACCATGACTCTGCAGCCACTGGTTCATGCCTGCTTCTAGACTCAAGCCCTTTGGATTTTAGGATTTTTGGTTTTTTCTAGTACTGTTATAGGTGTGTCTTTTTGCTCAAAGGAAAGAGAAACAAAAAGACCTGTTTTTCCTTTCACTATGTATTTATGCATCATGTGTTCCAACTCACCTGTCCCTTTCCAGGTACCCATAACCCTGTGTCTTGCCCTGAGTTCCACACATCAGCTAGCTGCCTCCTCTGGCTGTGTAGACCCGTGGATCCCTGTAACACATGGGGTGAAGGGCAGAATCTTTTGCTCAGCCCATCTTTTCACGCTCTCCTTGTTCCTGAGACACTAAAGATGACTGACATGGCTGTCTGCACCTAGCATGATGATTCCTGAGCGCGAATGTCTGCCACGTACTCCTGGCCTTCTGGGCTTGCCTCAGAGCTGGCTCTGCCACCCACCACTGGTCAGGCCTAGGGTCCAGAAGTTCTGCTGCTTAGCAGGCTGTTAGACATGTTTCTGGAAGAGTACACAGTGGGAAAGGAGAGAGGGCTTTATTAGATGTTCTGTGCTTTATTTAGTCTGTTATAGGACAGTAATCACTTCCTGTGGACATGCCGTGATCCTGGTCTGTGCCAGGGCATCTCTGTGTTTGTTTGTATTCCTCATTTGGAAATTCCAGTCACTGAAATTAGAGAAACCCTGGGTTCTAAGAGCTGAGTGTTGAGTAGCTTTGTTGTCCACTTACCTCTGAAAAAAGAGGGACCCTTGTCTGCCTCCTGGGAATGCTGCTGTACCACTGGGTGTTGTGTTGTCTGTGTATGATTCTCCAGGTAATTTCTATGTCCTGCCAAAGTCCTGTGTCTTTCCTTTGTGCCACAGGATTCTGAAGCTTGGTTTCGGAAAACTCTTTTTCACTTCCAATTGATGGGAAAGTTTTTGCTGCTTCTCTTCCTAGTTCCTCTGTGGTTTTGTTTGTTGTGTGACTGATCTCGTGCTTATCTGAAGCTATGGGCAAACAGAGTGTTTCTTTTCTTTCTTTGGGCCGATTCACAGACCCCCTCACCTCTTTCTGCCTTCCTCCTGAACCATCTCTTACTGTTCCCACGGCTGAACCTATCCAGAACTTCTCAGAGCTCTTGTGGGCTTCCTGACCTCTGGCTGTCCCACTTCTCAGTTCTTACTCTGAGTTTAGGGCCACACTGATAAAGTTTCCAGGGAGAAGGGATCTTAACACAGGACTTAGGTATACATGAGAGTGAAGAACATTTTCCTTCTGCTATGTAGGCTTTGTGACATGCATACTTAACATGTTTCTTAGTTTGAGGTTTTTGTTTGTTTGTTTGGGGCTCATGTGTGATTATTTAGTGCCAGAGTTCAAACTCAGGGCCTGAATGTGCTCTGCCATTGAGTTGTACCTCAGTTCTTATTAATTAATTTTGTTGTTGTTTTATTTTTTTGTGTGGGTTTGTTTTTAGGTTTTTCAAAACAAGGTTTCTCTGATTGTTCTGGAACTAGCTCTGTAGGCTGGCCTCGAACTCATAGAGATCTGCCTGCCTCTGCCTCCCAAGTGCTGGGATTAAAGGCGTGTGCCACCACCACCCGACTCGTTTGTTTTTGAGATAGGGTTTACTATATGGCCTTGGCTAGCCTGGATAGCGATCCTCTCTCTGCTGAATGCTGGAATTAATACCACATGCCTATTGTACTAAGTATATTTTAAAATATCATTCTGTAGTGCTGAAATGGTAATGATGGTCCTAAATGAAAGAGAATTTAAGATCCGCACAGTAAAGATGCAGAGAATGCTGCCATAGTTTCTGATACTATGATGAAATACCCTGACAGAAGAATGAGAAAGGGTTTATTCTCACTCACAAAGTTGGCAGGGTAGTCCAGGTGGCAGGAGCTTGAAGCAATTGGTCATATAACATCCCTAATCAGGAACAGAGAGGAATGTATGCTTGCTGCTGCTCAGCTTCCTTTCTCCACTTGGGCAGGTCTTCCCACCTCAGTAATCAAGATAATCCCCAATAGGCATGCCCAGAGTCCCATCTCTCAGATGATACTAGATTCTGTCAAGGTGACAGAATTAACCATTATAAATGGCCTTCTCCAGGAGAAATAGTTTTATTTTATTATCCTGGTAGCAGCTCTTAAGGTATCATAAGATGCTTTGGGCCAGGTGAAAGCACTTGCTTACCATCGAGCCTGACAAGCTAAGTTTTATTCCTCAATCCCATGTGGGAGAAGAGAACCGACTGCTGCAAGTTGTCCTCTGACCACAAGAACACACATACAGAAAATAAATAAGAGTGTGAAGGGGGTTGCTCTGCTGAGCAATGATTGGTGCTGTGTTGGAGCTACGGTAGTCGTGATGTTATCACAGTATTGCTTTTACGTCATGGAGGCCAACAGTTGAGCTGGTCCACTAAGAGCCTGCATGGTGACACCATGCCAGTCTTTATGGGTTGTGCTGAAGTGATCCTTGATCCTTGGTGTGTTTATAGAATGAACTGTTTTACAAACAAGTCTTTCTGTTAAGCCAAAACTGGTGAAAATCTGGATCAGGGCCCATGTCCCAGTGCACTCAGATTCCCTTTAACGTGGAACAAAATTTATTCAGGAGCCAAATAGCTTAAACTGCAAACATTTCTCTTTTTAAAAAAAAATGTTTTATTACAGTTCATTTGTTTGTAGGGGGGTTGGGTCACCGTGCACCACTGCGTCTGTGTGGAGGTCAGAGGGCAACTTGTAGGAGTCATTTCTTCTATCATGTGGGTTCTAGGGTTGAGCTCAGGTCATCAGGCTTAGCCGCAGACACCTTTACCCACTATGTCAGCAGTATTAATGAGGAACTAAACTGGAGAAATTAAACTTTTTATTTTATAAAGGATAAGGTCCTGAAGTTATGTAAGCATCTTGATATTAAGGGGGTGGGTGTTTCGAGACAAGGTTTCTCTGTTCTCTGTGTAAGAGTCCTGGCCATCCTGGACCAGGCTGGCCTTGAACTCAAGAGAGCCACCTGCCTCTGCCTCCCGAGTGCTGGGATTAAAGCCACCAGAGCCAGCTGCATTTTGGATTTTTAACCACCCATTCTTAGTGTAAATAATTTTCAGTCTTTTTTCCATGTAGTTTTCTAATGTTAATATCTTTGTTAGCATTAAAAATATTGAGCGTTTATTTATTTGGGGGCGTTGGGAGCACACATGTACAATTATACACACATGGAGGTTAGAGGACAACTCTCAAGTTAGCTCTCTCTTTCCACCACATAGATCCTGGTAATGAATTCAGGTTGTCAGACATGGTGTTGAGCATATTCACCTTCTAACCTTAAAATGTCTTATTTCTTAAATTGAGACAGTAAAACCAGGCTGTTTCTTTTAATTAAATTGTGTAGTTTATTTACGTCTGTATGCACACACTCTGATCACATGACTGTTTTTTTCCAGCCACCAACAGCTAAAATGCATGCCATCATCGAGCGCACAGCCAACTTCGTGTGCAAACAGGGAGCACAATTTGAGATAATGCTGAAGGCCAAGCAAGCACGAAACTCGCAGTTTGACTTCCTGCGGTTTGATCACTACCTCAACCCCTACTACAAATTTATCCAGAAAGCCATGAAGGAAGGACGGTATACGGTGCTGGCAGAAAACAAGAATGAGGAGAAGAAAAGTATGTGGATCTTTCCTGGCTTCTCGGGGTTGGGAGGATGGTCAGTACAAAGGTTCCTGTTCTCAGAGGAACGTGACTGAAATGCAGGCTTGAATTCTCAGGTGCCTGTGAACTGCTGATAGCCTGCCAGCACACCCTTCTAAGTCCTTAGTTCATGCTTTTACAGATTGTTAGAATACAATTCAATGTTGATGCCTAGGCTGGAAATGTTTCCCCTCATTCTGGCAGCATAACAGTCCACAGAGGAGATGGTTTCACTCTCCAGTGCACATGCTTGCATGGGGCAGGAAGTTAAATCCCACACATTCACAAAATGGTGCTTTCTTGGTCTTGAATTACTTATCTGAAACTGTTTTTCAAGTGTCTCCATTCCAGATTCTTAGAAAGCCAGCTTTTTCCTTTTTGAGTAACACCCAGGGGCAAGTCTCCCTAGCAGTGTCTTCCCATCCTGCAGCCCAGCCCAGCTGTGCGGATCTCACCTGCTCATTGTATCTGTTCCACCTTGGTGGTGGTTTTGGGTTTTCATTGTTTTCATTTGTTTCCTGTTGGTAATTTTTTTTCATGAATAAAGAATGTTTTTGCCCTTTTTGAAAATAAAAACCTGTTACAGCACTGCAGTAAATGCCAGGGAGCCTGTGTGGTGACGAGGTGGCACTCTTTCCTATCTGGCTTTTTATCTGAGCAGCTTATATAACCAGAAAGAATATTCCCCCATGGGTTTTGTGTTCGGGTAACCAAGAAAAAGCCTTGCAGGACTCTGCCCTTGTCTGCTTTCAAGTGTTTCCACAGCTCGTTGTGTTCATCCCCCTTCCTCCTTTCCCCTCTCTTCATTCCCAGCTTCTCCCCTCCCCTTACTATGTAGACCCCACTGCTTCAAACTCAGATCCACCTGCCTCTTGCTCCCACATGTGCCGCCATGTCCAGCCCATGTACCCTTCCGTGCTTCCTTACTCATACTGTGTGTCTGAGTCCCCCAGACCATGGCGTACTTGTTGGGGCTCAGAGCGTGACCTGCAGGAGTCAGTTTTCTGCTCCTACCATGGGGATTCTGGGGTCAAACTCACTGGGAAAAAAGAAGACTTGGTCTGTCTTTTTTCTAACTTAAGATTTTTCTGTTTGTTTGCTCAAAATTTATTTCTTATATGACCAGGTGGCACACACCTTTTATCCCAGCACTTGGGAGGCAGAGACAGGCAGAACTCTGAGTTAGTATACAGAGCAGGTTTCAGGACAGCCAGGGTTACACAGAGAAACTTTGTCTCAAAGAACCAACAAAAAGAAAAAAAGAAAGATTTATTTTTTATTTTATATGTATGTGCTTGTATCTTTGTGAGTCTTTGCCACATCCATTTGGGTACCTGTGGAGGCCAACGTTTTGAGTCCCCTGGAGCAGTTGTGAGCACCCAGTACAGGTCCTCTGGAAGAACAACATATGCTCTTAGCTGCTGAGCGATCTCTCTAGCCCCATGTTTAGTTTGGTCTTTAAAATTCTTTCTTAAGTAGCCCAGGCTATCCTTGAAATCTGATTCTTCTACTTCTGCTTCACAAGTGCTGGGATTAATTAGAAGATCTGCCACCATGCCCAGGAGACTCTCTTTAAATATGATTTTAATGAGCATATTTATAGAATACAGTGATAGTTTAATACATCTAAGCAATTGAACCAAAGTAAAAATTTTTTGAGATAGAATCTCAGTATGTATCCCAAACTGGCCTGAGACTTGTAGCTGTCCTTCTCCCTCTGCCTCTGGCTCTTGAGTGCTGGGATTGCAGGTGTGTGCCGTCATACCTGATAGGCAATATCTTGAATTCAATTTCAGAGTTGGGGGCGACCTCTGACAATGAAGATGAAGATGAGGAGGAGGATGGGAGTTACCTACACCCGTCTCTCTTTGCTTCCAAGAAGAGCAGCCGCCTGGAAGAGCTGATGAAGGTCTTTATCTTCTCACTAGTCTGTGTGTTTACACTGTCACAAAATTACATATGGAAACACAAAACTACTATTTCCTGTGCTACAGCTGTATCTTGTTTTGTCACGGCGGTGTCTGCACGTCTGTGTTCCATGTGGTATAGAATCATTTGTTTACCTAAGTCCCCACATTACAGGTTGCACAAGCAGAAGATTGTTGTTTTATTATATAAGTAGTGTTAGTGAAGACTTAGAAGTTATTTTGTTGTGTAGATTGGAATTTAGGATTGAATTCTATGCTTTTTAAATGGTTGCTTCATGAAGCCTTAGTTCCTTTCATAGACAGTTTCTAAATACGTGTTTTTACCTCTGGCCTTCTGGCCCTCCCCTCGTCCTTACGAGGAGACTTCACTCTGCCATTTGTGATGTAGAGGACAGAATTTATGAGATTTGAAGCTTGGTTCTCCATAGTCGCAGGTGTAGTTGATGTCTGAGAAGAGTGGCTCTTGATTAATGGGAAAGTAAGAGCTGTTGATGAGAAATTACGTCCCAGTGAGGAATGATGGAGTTTGAAGTTTTGTGTGAGTTTGGATGCCTATACTTTGAGTAGCTATCTGGTCTTGATGCTCCCTCCGCCCTTTGCTTAGAAGTTGTTATGGAACTGAAGCCTGCTTAGTTCCTCTAGTACTCTCAGCCAGCTGGAGCACCTGGCCCCACGTGGACAGGACCTGTGCATGTGTGTGTGTTCCGCCTAAATAACAATGGCTCTTGGCAAGAAAGTTGTGTTTGGGAGTGTGTGCTCTCACGGAGGTGGCATGTTCAGAGGAAGGACAGAGGATGGTGGTTTTCAAAGGTGCAGGGGGAGAGTCACAGGAGCATACTAGAACCAGTCCAGCATTGAGCAAGCAGCTTTTGGCAGCGCTCTTGCGCTCAGGTGTGGTTCTGACAGATCTCTTGTGATCACTGGGCACATGCATGCAATTCTGCCTCCATGACCTCCCGGCTCTCCTTTTTTGTTGTTCAGGGTCTGACTTAGTGGCTCTGCAGTGGCAGCTTTCACTGTGTCTAGACGTGTGCTGTGCTTTTCTTGAGGCGTACCCACAATACTGTGAAGTTGAGTCTTTTCTCAAGGAAGGTTTTACATGGTTCAGAACATAGAAAATGTTAAAGCCAGTGTCTTCTTTGTCTTTAGCCCTTGAAGGTGGTGGACCCAGATCACCCTCTAGCAGCCCTTGTCCGTAAAGCACAGGCTGACAGCTCTGCTCCAGCCGCACCCACTGCAGACGGCACACCTGCACAGCCCTCCCAGGTGGAGTACACGGCAGACTGTGAGTACCTAGAGTGTTCTGTTCTGTGTCCACCTTGCAGCTCTCCTCACCCCCCATGCTTTCACTTCAGACTTCCGTTGTGGCCCTGGAGGGCATGTTTGCCTGGCCCGTGGTTCTGTATTCCTGAAAGGAAGAGTCAGCGAAGGGCAGAAGAGTAAGCACCAGCCTACCCAGCTTCCCAAAGCCACTCTGACACCTCCCTTAGCTCATGATTGGCTAGAGCAGTGGGGGCTGAGAACTGACACCTATGGTTCAGAACTTTGCTGCACTGAGCAGTGCACTGGCCTGTTAAGAATGGGAAGAGCAGAGACTCGTTAGACAGCACAGCATTGTCTGTCCTGTAGAGTTGTTTGGTGCCATGAAAATGCCCTGGTATTGGCATCAGATTGGGTACCATTTTGTTAAGAAGGACAGCAAGCAGGGATGGGGAAATGTAGGGTTGCCTGTCATGATGCTTAGCATGCACAGTCATTCCTCTATTTCTACAGGGTTAGTTTCAGGGTTACCTCTTACTCCCCACAGATAGTAAAACTCCTGGTTTCTCTCACAGCCTTTAAGAGAATCCTTTCTGGAGAACCTACAATACGTTGTACATGCTGTGTGAATAGTTGCTATGCTGTGTTGTTCAAGGGGTCATGGCAGGGAAAAATTAGTGACTGTTCATACAAATGCAACTTTTCCCCTTTGTATTTTGAATCAACTGCTTGAATAGTGGGTGTGTGACTACTATTAGTTGATGTACAGGTATTATGTTCTTTTGGCTTTTAAGAATTGCTGCTCTCTTACCTTTCTGAGCACTTGAAACTTTCTAATTGAAGGGGAGCGCTCTGCAGAGTGACCCAGGATATCTAACCTTAGGCTCAGTGTCAGGTCTCGTTGCTGTTGAGGCTAAGCAGCATTGCATGAGTGTTGTGTGAAAAGAGGAACCTTCAGCAAAGAAGGATCAGCCTGCGCTGTGCTGCCCTGCTGCAGACTCCATTCCTCGAATGAAGCGACTTGCCTCGAGGGTGGGTCTTGCACTAGAAAGAGAGCTGCCATTTACCGAGGGTAGACATTCTTTACATGTGCACATTTCTCTGTACTCTGTCTCCACACAGATGTGGTGGCACAGGCCTTTAATCTTAGTATTTGGGAAGCAGAGACAAGTAGAGTTCAAGGTGAGCCTGGGCTACCATAGTGAGACCCTATCATTAAAAATAAATCAGTTTCTGAGTGAACTTTGTGAGTCTGTTCCTAGAAAACTTAGGCTGGAACTTAGATCATTTAAATAATAATCTTTAAATAATCAAATTGAGCGACATCAATCTGGACTATCCAATCGGGAACTCGTGTTACAGGACTGCGTGTTACATGTCCTGCTGTCACATCCCACAAGCAGCCATCTTACAGCCGTCAGGAGGTTTCTGTTGGCTCAAGTACACACTTGGGAAGTGATCCATGTGCATAGCCTGCCTGTTTCCCATGCCCTGTGTAGCCCAAGGGAAAGCTCATGAATGACCTAATCAGTGGCACCAGGAGGCTCTGCCAAACAGTCTGGTTGCACTCCAGAGAGGGAATGGTGTGCTGCCAACCACCCCTACCTCGTGCGTGCCTATTTTCTGCTTTTTTGGTTTTTTAAGTGAGTGTATGTATGTATGTGTGTATGTGTGCATGCAGTGCATGTTCATGTCTTTGCACACTTGTTTACAAGCGGAGGTTAGATGCCAGTGTTGACTATCCTCGATTGCTTGCTCTACCTTTTTTTTTTTTGTATGTATGCATAAAGTTAGCAGGTGTGTGTGTCCTGCATATGTTGGTTTCCTCTCTGGATTGGATTGCTCTCTTCCACCTTACTTTGATTGAGACAGAATTGCTCACTAGTTTAACTAAACTGGTTGGCCAGTGTTTACCTCCCAGGCACAAGTCACAGCTCCCAGCTTTTACATGGGTGCTAGGAACCCAAAGTCATTTCTTTGTGTTTGCACAGCAAGCAGCTTACTGACCCAGCCATCCATCTTGCCCATCCCCCGCATTCCTCTTCCAAGACTATCTTGAATTTGCTTAAATCAAATGCATTGTCTATTCATGTTCCTGTATCTTTTTATAGCCATAAAAGAGAGCAATAGAAATTGGGGGTAGGGAAACTAATTCTATCAGTAAAGGGTGGACAGTTAGACACAGAGGTCAGCTGTAGTGGTGCACAGACCCTGTGGGCCAGGCAGGATGGTGGGACAAGCTGACTCATCATTCCCAGTCTGGTAAGAACAGTGGCCCGAGGCAAACTTTGGCAGTGTAGATTGTCGAAGGATCATGCAGATTAAAGACAGGGCCCTGAGCATCTGAGGAAATCCCAGGCTTGCTATGTTCTGCTTGAGGGCTAGTCCTGCCTACAGTGCCCTCAAGGACCAAAAAGGACATCAGGCCCTGATGAAGCCTCCTGGACACAGGGAAGAATATTGTTTAGATATCTGGAGTTTGTAAGAACAAACAGATCTATATACAAAGACCAGAGCCCTCAGAGCCACCAACACAGCCTCCTGCCCAGGATCTAAAAGATCATTGGATAAACAGGTGAACTTGTGGTTTTACAGCAGAGCCAGTCCCAGGGGCTAGACCCTAGGATCTGTTTCTCAATGAAACTGCTCAAAAACCATCAGAAAAGTCCTAGCATCCTTGGTTGTAAGACTGCTGCAGTTAGGAACAGCCCTGGTCTCTCCAGGGCTCCAGCTCTGCTAGGTATCTGCCTGAAACTCTCACCTCCCTCTGTACTCTTTGTCTTTGAGTATCTGCATCATCTTGTTGCTCTTGTCTTATGGTGCTGTAGGCTGCCAGAGTTGCTTGAATCCAAATCTCCGTCTGGCCCATTGATGGTCATTCACAGCAGCTGTGGCTCTGCTCAGTTAGGTGACACTTGGTTTGTAGCCAAGCATTAAAACAGTGCTTACAAATGCAGCCAAGTAGAAGAAAACCAATCACAGCTGTTGATTTTAGTTCTTTTGTGGTAAATTCATCCATATACAACAATTAGATTGCTTAAATGTCAAGCAATTGCTGGGGCCCTGTGCAGAGTGTCGTCAGCCTTTTTTCCTTCCACTTTTCTTATTTTCAACACTTTTTCCTTTTATTTATTAATGTGTGTGCATGGTGGAGTGGTGCGCATGTCACATGCTTGTGGTGCACAGTTCTGCCTTTATGTGGGCTCTGGGGCTAGAACTCAAGTTATCAAAACTGCACAGCAAGCACTTTACCCACCGCGCCTCTCCCTGGCCCATATAGTCTGCCTCTTTCAAATGTGTTTTACTGTTAAACTTTGAAAGGTTGGTAACTGATTATAATATTTAGAGCATTGCCTACAGACAGTGGCCTGTGACTTATCTCGGTTTGTATGTATCAGGGTCAGATCCAACAGATTCTTCAGAGTTCCTCCTTTCCCACTCATGCATCTGTGTGACTGACCACCATCCATCATTCATTAACCTTGCTCATGCCCACCAGCCCTTAGAACTTAGCTGACAGGACAGTGGCAGGGAGTGCCTGAGACTCTGGGGTCTTGGGCAGCAGTGTCAGGACTCACTGCAAGGTGAGTGCCTGGTCTCTGCTGCTCTTGAGTCAAAGAATGGGTGCTTGCCTGGTGTGGTTCTTGCGCAGGACCACAGTGATGCATTGAGTTACTGTTTTGCCTCATGGCTTAGTAAGATTACAGCCTTTGGTTCTTATAAAGAGAATGAACTTGTCTGACAGATTGAGGGGCTAATGAATATGAACATGGAAAAGGAATGCAAGGCTACTGTGGTCAAGGGGTTGTGGGGATCATGCTGCTGTCCAGGCCCATATATGCCCTTCTTACCAAGCTGGCCCGCTTGGTGTTTGCTGTACTGGTATTCCAGAGGCTATTGTACTAGTGTGTCTGTACGTGTAGATAAAGGTCATGCCTGACCTGCTAGTGCAGTGCCCTCTTGCTTTATTCCAGGGATACACAGGACTCTCAGAGGTGGTTACTAGTGAGTAACTTTTAAAACATTAAGAAGAGAACTGGAGAGAAGGCTCAGTGATTAAGAGCATGTATTGCTCTTGCAGAGGACCTGAGTTCATTTCACAGCACCCATGTCATGTAGCTTACAGTGGCTGGAATTCCAACTCCAAGAGATTCAGCACCTTCTTCTGACCTCTGCAGTCACAGGCAGGCATAGACACACATGTACATACGCATATAAACAAAAGCACATCTTAAACCACAAGCCTGATGGCTTATACCTTTACTCCCAGCAGGTGGATCTTTGTGAGTGAAAGCCTGCCTGGTATACATAGTTCCAGACCAGCCAGGGTTGCAGAGTGAGACCCTGTCTGCATGAGTGTCTTTACTTCTGCAGGCCTTTATTTTCCCATTTGTGATTTAGGATGTTAATTTATTATGTTCTGAGTGAAACATTGAAGATAGTTATTTCCATAGTATTTTAAGATTCCACATTGCAATAATGGTCAAGTGAAACTTAGGGTGGTTTACGATGATGGTTTCTTCCTCTCTCTCTTTCTCTTTCTCTCTCTCTCTCTCTCTCTCTCTCTCTCTCTCCCTCTCCCTCTCCCTCTGTAAAAAATTTCCCGAGTTATATAAACAATAGTAAGGCAGAACATGAAAAATGTGAAAAGAAGTTTAATATAGGGAAACATATGCTAACATAATAAAATGTTATTTTGCTATGAGGCCCATGAAATAGTTGATGCCTTAAACAAGTATGTAGTAAAAATAGGTCTGAAGATGGTAGTTGTGGATCTGAAATCAGTCCTCGGAAGAAGGTCTCACCATCACCAGACTGACTTTCCCTGGGGGCTTAATCTTTATCTTTTTAATAGTGTGTGTGTGTGTGTGTGTGTCTGTGTGTCTGTGTGTCTGTAAGTAAAACAGCGTGTGTGCATGGACACTGTATACGCCACAGCACATGTGTGGCGGCAAGAGAACGACTGTTGGTTCTCTCTTTCCACCCTCACAAGGGTTCTGGGGTCAGACTGACTGTTAAACTTGC